AGTGCTTCAGTCCAAAAGAAGTTAAATAAAAAGCGCCCGTTAGTGACCGTTGTTTTGTTTTGATCTCTCCGCTGCGTTTCTGCGTTCGTCACTTCTGAGCGGCGCATGCGCAAAGCCGACCTCATACGTCATCTGCCCGGAACTGCTTCCGTTTACAACAGTGAGCGCAAGCTAGATTAAAGGGATTATTAAATTTTGAATATGAATATTTTTCTTACAAAAACGCATCGATTCGCTACAGGAGGCCTTTGTTCACCCCCCGGAGCTGTGTGAGACACTTTTTTAAGGATGGGTGCTTTTTATTTCACTTCTTTTGGACTGAAGCACTGCAACACCCGCTGACTGCAATGATAGTGCTTGGAATAGCCAGGACAATTTTTAATATAACTCCGACTGGATTCGTCTGAAAGAAGAAAGTCATATACACCTAGGATGCCTTGGGGTGAGTAAAACACAGCCTAATTTTCATTTTTGGGTGAACTAACCTTTTAATGCATTGACTAACATTAATGAGTAATAATACGTTTGTTACAGTATTAGTTTAAAAAAAAAGTTGTTCATTATGAGTTCATGTTATCCAAGGTTCATTAAAAAGGCTAATAATACTAACAGATAGGCCTACAACTTTTGGTTTATATAATGTATTAATAAACGTTGAAACTAACATTGGTATTGCTTATGCAATGGCTTCCATTCAGAAAAGTCACGTGAGGCACGAACTGTAAGTAGGCTTAAGCTATATTTGCAGCACATATGTGACCCTGGAGCACAAAACCAGTCATAAGTGTACATTTTTTGAAATTGACGTTTCAATATTTACGTTTCAAATATTTTTTTTGAAATTGAAATCTGAAATCTGAATAAATAAGCTTTCCATTGATGTATGGTTTGATAGGATAGGACAATATTTGGCTGAGATACAACTATCTGAAAATCTGGAATCTGAGGGTGCAAAAAAAATCTAAATACTGAGAAAATCGCCTTTAAAGTTGTCCAAATGAAGTTCTTAGCAATGCGTATTACTAATCAAAAATTAAGTTTTGATATATTTACGGTAGGAAATTTACAAAATATCTTCATGGAACATGATATTTACTTAATATCCTAATGATTTTTGGCATAAAAGAAAAATCGATCATTTTGACCCATACAATGTTGTTTTGGCTATTGCTACAAATATACCCCAGCGACTTAAGACTGGTTTTGTGGTCCAGGGTCACATATGTCCATACACACTTAATTTGTCAAGTCTGAATGCATTATTTTTTTATTTTTTTTACAAAACATTTGTCTGAATTCAAATGATGTCAAAGCTATTCTGCTTGAATTTGCGTAACCGGTAGCAATAGTAACCAACACCCGAATGATAGTTCACGTGTACTCTCGTTTGTTATTTTTTATACATTGTAAGTTATTGAAATGCTATAATTTGCCATAAGGTAAGAGTTTCTTACCTCATCATAAAACCTTGCCTCGTGTCTACTGAACTCGCGCGCGCCGCTAACGGTTTTTGTGCAAGTGAGAATTTATGTCTCGTGCCATCATGCAAAAAGTCGTTTCAAAAAATATGAATAATAACATTAATAATTTACGTAGTCAAGTGTTTGGCAGCAGTGCTCAATGCTGCCACAGATTAGACACTTAAGTTGGTTGTTTTTTTAAGTTAAAAAACAGACAAATAGCCTAACATTCCACAAGCTACATAATTTGGCCTGCTTGTGTTTTGGTTGTTTTTACGAAAATGTATTTATTTATTTATTTTTTCAAACGTAATACAATCAAGCGTAGCATTAGTTCTGGCAGGTCACGTTAGTCAAGCTCGCATCAGCTGACTCTCAGCTGATCCCCATCAACCTATGGGAATACGACACCTATCTAAAGTATTCATATATAAGGTCCCTCAGTATTATCAGCAGTTTTCGCATTGCTCAATAGCTAATTACCCTCCTCCATCCCCAACTCCTCCTCTGTCAGTCAGGATTCAGCCGTCTGATTCTCCTTTGAATCAGACTAATTCTAAAATGTGTACATAAAATGATTGAACTTTAACGATATCTGCAATACATTTATGTTGGTTCTGTTCTGTTTACCCTGGGGGGGTTACCGCTGCTCTCCCTGCTCTCATCCATGCTAGGCTGCATGGAGGCGCAGGGAGTTCTTGCCCAGAACGGAACCATACCGCCAATCCAAACTGTATGCTAATTTTCAATCATCTTTGACTATAGTGGTCCTGACAGAACTCTAAATAAAACGTCCCAGAAACTTAGATTTTAGATTTGTTTAGTTTTTGTAAACGTATAGGCTATACTTTTATATATAATTAAATAGCATATATATAAATAGCCTATATAATTTTAGGTTTGGTTTGGGTAACGTTTTAACCGTGATGTTACCAAACTGCAACCAAAATACAACGTTGTGGAGACTATTTAAGCTTGCTGGGTCCAGGTAGGCAGCAGTTGTGGTTGTTACTGGAGAGAGAGATGCAAACCCGGTGTTCTGACAAATAATGCTACCTATCAGATTATGCTACCAACACTGTATTTATCCTACTGTAAGGGTGGGTTTAGGGTTGGGGTAGGTGTACATGTTAATAAAGCCTCACACCTTATTAATATCATGCTGGAAGCAAAATCTGATAGGTAGCACTTTTCGCTATCGAATTATGCTACCATCTGTTTTAATGGGAGGTAGCAAAATCTGACAGGGTAGCACACCGGTGTTGTGCCGAATTCTGCAAATGTCGGCACTACACCGGCACAAGTGCAATTTCCCCTTTATCAGATACCTATAAAAGCTACACTCACATATTCATGACAAATACAAATACGTCTCCCCATTCGAAAGGTCCCCGTCTCTAGCAGACGAATGTAAAGCAATTTTTGGCACTGAGCCCGTAGCGAAAAAATGTGTCAGTGTGCACAAAGGAATCTAATGGAAACTTCACAGAATGTGCACTGATGCAACAGCGCATAAGAGATATCAGATGTTGCACTCCACTAAAATGTCATGTTTAAGCATGCATATTAGAAATCATATTCACGATGCACGTAATTTATACAATCTAATGTGTGCGATCAGCGCGTGCAATGTAACCACTGAAAACCCTCGGTGTGATAAACTGTAACCTTTTCCGGTTCTGGCAGTTTGCACCTAAATGCTATCCTCTGACAAACAGCACACCAGTTTGTTTGACATCATATTACACAAAAGCAAAAGCAAAAAGGTTCAAGTATCGTCGTTTATCTTGAGACTCGGCGACGAGTGAACTCTCCGATTCCAATACCAACAACTGTAAGTTCCTAGTGATCAATACTGACCAGGGACGCCGGGTCAACATTCTCAACATTCCTCCAGATCACTGAGCATATGCAGAAATTACACCCGAGACTCTGCACTTTCTAACATGCCATATTTGCCCAGATGACAAAATGTCGTCGCATGCATTATTATTTATTGCATTTCAACATGCGTTCGTAGTTTAAACCTCGCCGGCATTTTATACTTTTAAAGATGTTTGTATATTTGTGAATTAGAACGATCGCTGTTTGTTGCATGCCATGTATTCCATAACGCAAAAAATATATATATATATATTTTTTTTTACTTACGATTTCAGAGGATTTTGGACCACTGTGGCCATTTTGATATAGAATGATACAATGTAAGACTGCAGATCACCGGTATTGTACATGTAATATAGCAGCAATTTCAATTTCATTCATTCTCTGGGGCTGCGGCTGGATCGGCCAGCCACTAGGAGCACGACTGGCTGACGGTCACTGCGGGGAAATGTAGTTTTTATTCCCTGATGGCTTCAGGAGACAGCGGTGCGCGTACTACAAATATCACAATGCACTGCGGTTAACTGTATACTAGTCCCGCCTTGATTTTGGATGGGCAAGCCAAAACATCTACTGTAAATTCAAGGTTGGATTGCTGGACTGTCTGTCAGTATTTTTGATCTCATGTTGGTAGTTTCTTATAATTCGTAGATAATTTGAAGTATGTTTAGAGAGCGATGGGCAGCTATGAAGAGCGATTAAGTCAATATTTATTTTCTTAGTATGCATGTAATTATATTATATTTATTAGAGATAATCCGAGCAAATTTCGGTAGGCACTGATCAATATCATTATTACATAGCTTTATCCTGCTATATATGTGCGCTATATGTGTATATATCACTAACACAATTCCATCGACTTCTGTTGTGAACTAATAATAGTTTTCATCTTCTAAATCTAAACCTCAAACAAACTTTTCTGCATTTTTACATTTTCATTAATTTCTTATTTAAAAAAAAATTATACAGCCTGGCCTTAAAACATGCTAAACACGAGTAATATTAATGGACAATCACAGTAAACCAATTCTACTGTGTGTTTTTATACTGCTTATGTAATGAGAAACATTTACATCTAAATATTGTGAATATTATCAGCCAGACTGACCTCTAATAGAAATGGAATGACTGCAAAGGGCTCTTCAGTCCATTTAATTGCAATGGCGCCACTTTGAAGGCATTCTGTGACGTGATATTTATAGATCCCTGCTAACAACTATTTAATGAACCATGGAATGACTGAACAAAAATGTCCTGTTGATTCATAAGGGATTACTGCAGAATTGGTGCATTTTGGGGGGGATTTTAGAGTTGAGCTAATCTTCAATTTAAGATATTGCACTGCAATAAATTCTAAAACTACATTTAAATATCAGTGCTATTCTATTTGCACCTACCGACAACATTTTTACTAAATTTACAAAAATTTGATTTCCTACTCATACAATAATGAGCTCATGTGAGAATTTTTTCATGGAGACTTGTTTTTATTGACCTGGATACTACAGTGTAAATTCTGCACACAAAGACTGCTATGAGACAGTTGATCATAATAGCCACTAGAGGGCGTCAAAATGCTCTATAACGCACAATGAAGGCGGCCGATAGAGTAGCAACAGCGCCCTCTTGAGTCCAGCTAGAAAACCAAGCAGCGCCTGCAGCACAGTAGTAGCAGCAGCAGCTAGTAGTCTTGGGACAGTTGTAGTCCAAGTAGCTTTCCAGAGAGTTGTGATGGTTTTAAATCTTTCACTATGTCTGAAATGCTGCTGAAAGATATGGAAGAGATTTCTCTCGGGCCTGTTAAAATGGACGAGCAGAAGGAAAATGGACGGAGTTTTCTCCTGGTGGACGAAAACGAAAGCTTGCAGGTTTGTTTTTGTTAGCTTCGGTGTTAGCCATCAAGCTATTAGGTAAACAGCACATGTAGGGTCTTAGTTGTTTTTATACACTTTGATAGATCAATTCACGAGCACGCTAATAACTAATTATGGTATGTGTAATTTAAATAATAAACAGATTAACTAACCCTAAACTGTCAATATGATTGCATCATAAGGAAGGGCTGTCTTTTGACAACTTTTAGGGATCTTTAGCCATTGATCAGTATTGATTATATCAAGGGTTTGTATAGTTTTTGTCACGTACATTCATGATCTCAGGTCTGTGTGCTGCTGCTGCTGGCCCATGTGCTACAGCAGATGATACATCTGTCAACGCAGTGTATCCTACAAACGTTGAATGATCTCAGTGCTGTATACTGCTGTTATGTTATTTCTCTAACATGATATTCTGATGTACTTTGGTAATACCTTGGTAGTACTTTGGAATTCATCATTCATGATGACATAATTATCATTTTAGGTGAACTGTCTCTTTAAGATTCTTACAAATGGTGATAGACAGACAGACAGACAGATATATAGGTGGGGCAGGCATCCAAGAGAAACCATTAACACAGAATTCTGCAAACTCATTGTTAAATTACAGCAGAAAACATCCAGTAGCCCACACAGGCCGAATTAAAATTCTGCATGCATCTAAAACAGAATCTCACAGAATTGCTATGTTTGAAAGCATTAAGAACTGAACCGTCATTATTATATGTGTATGTGTAGGTAGGGCCGGCCTATACATGTTAGAGGTCTTCTGTTAAACATTGTGATCTCCAACTGTTCGCAAATGTTTTAATTTGTTGTTTTGTTTTAATTGGTTACATTTGTCTAAATCATTTAATATTATATTGTTCTATTTGCATATATTGCTTTGGTAGTATGTAATTGAAAATTGAAATGGACTGAATTGGTAAACAGATGATGGATGGATGATAGGCAAAATGATGGATGGATGGATGGATGGATAGATGGATGATAGGCAAAATGATAGATGGATGATAGGCAAAATGATGGATGGATGGATGGATGGATAGATGGATGATAGGCAAAATGATAGATGGATGATAGGCAAAATGATGGATGGATGGATGGATGGATAGATGGATGATATGCAAAATGATAGATGGATGGATGGATGGATGGATGATAGGCAAAATGATGGATAGATGGATGATAGGCAAAATGATGGATGGATGGATAGATGGATGATAGGCAAAATGATAGATGGATAGATGGATGATAGGCAAAATGATGGATGGATGATAGGCAAAATGATAGATGGATGATAGGCAAAATGATGGATGGATAGATGGATGGATGATAGGCAAAATGATAGATAGATGATAGATGATAGGCAAAATGATGGATGGATGGATAGATAGATAGATAGATAGATAGATAGATAGATGATAGGCAAAATGATAGATAGATAGATGATAGATGATAGGCAAAATGATGGATGGATGGATGGATGATAGGCAAAATGATAGATAGATAGATAGATAGATAGATGATAGATGATAGGCAAAATGATGGATGGATGGATGATAGGCAAAATGATAGATGGATAGATGGATGGATGATAGGCAAAATGATAGATGGATGGATAGATGGATGATAGGCAAAATGATTGATAGATAGATAGATGGATGGATGGATGGATGATAGATAGATAGATAGATGGATGATAGGCAAAATGATAGATAGATGGATGATAGGCAAAATGATAGATAGATAGATAGATAGATAGTAAAAGTAAACCTTTTACTCTTTCTCTCTTCCAGGTGAAGAACGAAGCAGAGTTTTTGCAGAAGTTGGGCTGCAGTGCTGCTCAAGGAGTCAAAGTGCTTTCTATCTTTGGTAACACGGGCGACGGCAAGTCCCACACTCTCAATCACGTGCTTTTCAGTGGTGAGGAGGTCTTCGCCACGTCTCCTTCTCCGTCCTCATGCACGGTGGGCGTATGGGCCGCTTACGAGCCGTGCCTGAACCTGATCGTGCTGGACACGGAGGGCCTGCTCGGGGCCGCCAGTCAGCAGAACCGCCGGATGCGCCTGCTGCTGAAGGTTCTGGCCGTATCAGACGTGGCCATCTACCGCACGCGGGCCGAGAGGCTGCACAATGACATGTTCCAGTTCCTCGGCAGCGCGTCGGCCGCTTACCTGAAGCACTTCACACCTGAGCTCCGCGCTCTGTCTAGCCGCTGTGGGCTGGACGTGCCTCTCTCCAGCCTGGGACCTGCTGTTATAGTTTTCCAGGAAACTTTTCGTACTCAGCTGCTAGGCCAGGGTAAGTCAGAGCAAGCAGACTTTCACTGTTTACAAGGCCTGCAGTGTTTATCAATATGAATACAGCATTTTTCTGATACATGTTGTTGCCAAAGGCTGTTGTACGACTAGCCTGGGGGCAAAGGGATTGCTGTTTAAACTTGGGTCTGCACACCCTCATGGGGCCTAAACACATAGCCAGGGGGGTCTTTGAAAAAGTCCTGAATTTTAGACTAGTGGAGAATCCCACAGGAAAGACGTAAGTTGTCAGTCAAACCAAAGGCTTTATTTCAAACTTAATTGTTTCATCGTTCCTGCTTTTATTTCTGTCTGCTTAGTGATGAGAATTTCAATTTGTTTCGTTGTTTCTCTGTAGTCAAATGACAAATCTTTAGAGAGATTTCATTTGAGTCAGTAATACATGGGACACAATGCTAATTTTTATCTATTATTTTAATAAAAAATACATAATAATGTAATACATACAAACAAAGACTTAAATGCATGATGAGCATGTTTTTTAACATTTTTAAATTAAAATTCATTTTGAACTGTCCTGATGTCATAATAGAAAAATCTTTGACATTTTGACAAAACAAGATTGATATAATCATTTAATATTATTTCTATCTATCTATCTATCTATCTATTAGTGCTCAGCGGTATGACCAAACATTTATATCATGGTATTTTTCAAAATTATACCGGTTTCACGGTACATGACGGTATTTTTTTTTCATGCGTGGGTGTTATGTTAACCATATTTTCTACTGATTGAGAGAGGAAATACTGCAGTATATTGACTTAGAATGCCCTATTTTACTGTCATGATGAGTGAATATTGTAAAAAAATACCACACTAAATAGTGACTAAACACGACGCCTTTTAATACATGTTAACCAGGAGTCACTCTCATTTATAATCGCCGCATCTTCTGATAAAATCAACATGCATCTACACTAAAGAGTGGCTATGTGGTTGTTTTGGCTATATTACTTTTTTGTCTCATGCAACGCACTGCCTGCGTCTGAGTAGCAAACTAAACCCACTGTGCAACAGTGAAAAGGGACCCCTTTCAAACAGTGTCGCGTTCCGAACGTTGTTTAAGCGACATAAACCGGTATTGCGGTATTTTAAAAATTCATATCATAACCAAAATAAACACCGGTATTCGGTATGAAGCGGTATACCACCCAGCACTACTATCCATCTATCTCATTTAATATTATTTCTATCTATCTACACTGAACAAAATTATGAACGCAACACTTTTGTTTTTGCCCCCCCCTTTCAACGTTCCGAACGTTGTTTAAGCGACATAAACCGGTATTGCGGTATTTTAAAAATTCATATCATTCATATCATAAACACCGGTATTCGGTATGAACCGGTATACCGCCCAGCACTACATTATTGCATTCAGTTTCAGACTGCAGCAGCAAATCAGCATATTAGAATGATTTCTGAAGGACCATGTGACACAGAAGACTGGAGTAATGATGCTGAAAATTTAATTTAAATTTTTCGGTGCCATCACAGGATTAAATTACATTTTAAAATATTAAAAAACAACAACGAAAACAAAATACATTTGGTTTTCATCAAAATTAATTTGTATTTGCTAATAAGCAAGGAGATGTTGTAGAAAAAAATTGTATAGTAACACAGTTACTAAAAGTTAGCATCAGCTCTTCATTGTTAAATTAATTTTTACATATATGCCTATGAGGGACACAAATAGCAGCGGTTTTGCAGAATGACCCAGCTGGTGTCCATCTTATGAATAAAAGCCGCCCTCTAACTGATCAATGACTTCCCCTACTCTCTGGACCTGACTTTTCATGAAATATAGATGGCCATTAAGAGCACCGGAGAGCATGCATCTCCATTTCTATATTTAATACCGGGCCAAATGACTGGCTAGAGAGGAAGACGAGTGAGAATGTGCAGTTATTAAAATAAAAAGAAGAGAGAGAGTGTGAAAAGGTACTATAGGAGGGAAAAAAAGATCTGGCTCTGGTTGAGGAGGAAAAGAAGACGGATCCATTAATTGTTAAATTTCATAAAAATGAAATTAGTTATTAAAGATATTCCTGCCACTTTCACCTCCTTCCCCTCAACGCTCA